CAAAGAGCCATTTCTCATGCAGTTAGTTACCAAAATAAAGACTTTTGGTCATTACTAATACCTCACAGCATCCCTCAGACATACACATACACATTTTGCTTACAAGAAATGCTCTGATATGAACCTAGAGAACATACTTGGGCTATAAAAGTAGGAAACACAGCCCTTGGGAGGCAATATCTTGTTCCCTTTGATTGCTTACATTTTGGAGCCCCCATTTAATAGCCAGCTGGGTGGAGCCTACATCCTTATACAATGAATCCATCCCCTCTGAAATCTGAGGATCTCACTGATCTAAGAGGCCAGGACTGGGTTTGGGGTAAGGAGGGGATGTCATTCACCTTGTTTACTCCTTTGGGACAGAGACTCTTACTCCAGCTGGTTAAAGACTTAGGAATTTGGGGTGAGAGAAAAATGAAGTTCCTACGGCCAGGATCCTCAATTGATCCTAAATGACATGATGTAATTGGCCTACTGCTAGGCTAGTACTTCCACACCCATAGGCAATAAGCTGTATGTTAAAAGCTCCACCCACTGATCTGGGCAAAGGCAGAGACAGGTGGATTAAGGACCTGCAGACGGGCACAGGCAGACGCAATTCTAGTGCTCAACCTACCTCCCTGAAAATAAAGCCAGCCCTTTTATTTACCCCAAGAAAGTTCGTTGTCATTTCTCTGTCTCACCAGATCCATGGTGAACTTGCCTGGCACTGAAAACCTCAGGCAGGACAGGGGCTCTAAACAATTAACAAAAACAGCACCCGACAATAAAATCTCAGATATAAATGGTTAATGATAGAAAAAACAGAAATCAAAGCAAAATCATGACTGTACTAAGGATGGAGTTAACAATTCAAATATTAACTCTAAATTACATGGAGAGAAATTAGGCACTGCCACCAGGAAAAAGATATGTGAGCAAATCTGGAGGAAACTGCTACCAGCATCAAAAATCTATTCCCATCTCTGCTTTTGTTCAGCCAGCATCTTAGGAACCTACTGGAGATCCCCAGTTTGAGATGACTATATAACTAGGTTGACTGCTTCCTTGTTAGGTCTATTCCATTGGTTTAGGACTATTTTAAATTTATATGCCTAGCAGATTATGGGATAAATGAAGCATTTATCTACTACAAAGTGATCCATAAAGATAAATCACTCACTTTGTTTTATGTGACGTCTAGGGCCACTAGAACTAAATTTGCTTTCTTGCTGGTGAGCACCATGAACTTCCCACCTGTGCCTTCATGACTTCATCTGTCTAGCACACAACACATTCCAAGTCCCTGACAGCCATTTCCAAAGTCAGTTATTCAAAGTGCAGTAAACACGTATTAGTTGGTTCCCTTGCTTCTGGCCTGCCTGAGGAAACTTCAATCCCACTTTCTCATTTCCTACCTAGAATTTTAAAAACTACATGCACACTTTAGTGTTTTCCTACTTTAATATTTTGTTTACACTACAAATAGCAAATAAAATAATCTACCATAAAAGTAAATGAATGATCTACAATAACTACTACTTTTAAATCAAACATACTAGATATTAGAAATACACATCTCTGGAAAAAACAGATTTTATAACACTTCCTTGAAATGTTTACTGAATAAAAGGTCATTAGGACGTCTCCAAAAAGCAATATGTAATCTACATTTGAGAGAGTTTACCAATTGTGTGGAAATATCTGCCTTCAGGACAACTCAAGCAACATAAACAAGTCTCTTCCAAAAACACTATTTTCCTTTTTTCTGGTTATAGAAAATAGAGAACTAATGCCAGGATCTCTGTTCTAAGTAACACAATGAAAGCTTGTAGGACCCTCTACTTAGAGATTCAGAGACAAGTAAATCCGATTAATTGCATTATTGAAGTCTTGCAGAACAGTATTGTTTTCACCCTTTTTATTGAATCAGCTCTCACATTACATACAGACATGAGACTCTAACCCAGAATGAGTTATACTGAATATACTCTTAAATTTTAACATCATAGAATGGAACAATTAAGCTTACCGAATTCAACCTCTCATCAGAAACCCCATAGAATTTTAAATGAAGTGACCAAAAACATGTTAGTTCTCCTTGCACATATTTTCTTTCGATTAGAAAGTTCTTTCTCATACTGACCTCAAATCATTTAAATTTCAACCTGTGTGTGGTTTCTAGTTCTACCACTTGGGACTAAATAGTATATCTTTTATTTTTAAGGAGTATTATGATTTTCTCCTCTGCTAATCATTTAACAGTTTTTAATATGCCAAAGTTTAAGTCCTTTTGCATCCATGTCATTCACCTAAAAATAAAAATAGTACCATTAAGAACTGAAAGTACATCATTTTTCTCTTTACATAATGAGTACCACAAACAATGCACTGATCTTCATGCTGTGTGTGGTTTAATGATTTAAGGAATCAGACGACCAGAATTAAATCCAATTTTTATTAGAAGCCCAAGATACTATCTTTCTACTAGCTTTTATGCACTTTCCTCATATTAGGCTTGGAGTTTTAAGATTTTTTGGTCTTTTTTAATGTCAGTAGCTGCTAAACCTCATTGGCCACATTCTATACTTTAAGGCATCCTGACAGTAAAAGATTAAAAATGGTCTATAAAGATAATGATGAAAAGGCTAGCAAAAAAAAAAAAATTTGCTATGAAATTGAATTTAATTGAAGAACATTTGAAAGTCAATGTCAAAATGTAACAGGTAACCTAAACACACCTCTTAACTTCTAAACTGATATACCCACTTCAGGGAATACATCCTCAGGAAACACTGAAAGCAAACACATGAAAATGTGTATAACAGCAATTTTTTAATATTTTTTAAATTTTTTAAACCCACTATAATTACAACAGTTAAAAATCAAACACACACGGAGACCAGCCTTGAAAACTCCCTGGACAAAATAACATGAGTTCTGTACACAAAACTTAATTTAGCTCATTTTACAAGATAACTGTCACAACCTGGGTCACCTATTAGTAATGCCTCTGAAAATTATAAGTGAAACTTAAGATGTTCCCCAAAATTGATATGAGATAACCACTAAGCAATTCCCTATCCTCAAGAAAACTCATTATAACCAATCACTGAAGAATAGTCAGTGTCTCCATACAATATAAGCAGCTTGTAGCAACAGACCTCCAAGCCTCATTCCATGTTTGGCTTGAGCGTTCCTGGTTCACAAAACTGTGTGTGCACAACAGCTGTTAGTATTTGCAACCTCGGGGACTCAAGTAAACACACCAGCTTTACTTCTGCTACCACTGAACTTCCTACCAAGTAAAAACACATAAGCAAAGCTCTGGATGGAAAAACTGACAACATGCATATTCTAGTTACAGTAACTTGGATTTTTAGTGTATTTAAAACATTTTTCAACCCCTCCAAAATGTTGCAAGACTTTTACTACCTTTATAGTAAATTTTTGCCTTTAGTGTCATGAGACTTGGGTCAACTCCCAGCTTTTCCATCACTGAATATTGCCAAGTAATTATTTTAAACCTTAGTTTCTTCATCTCTAAGGTTGAGATAACACTTCCCAATGCTCCAGGAGCTAAGTATTTTTATTCCTCTGAAGTCTGTGTCAGCATTCCCCAAAACTGTATCAGCATGACTAGTGAGATCCTACTTTTATGTTTTTCCCCAAAGAAGTTACTATATAAATACTATTGACCTAAAGAAGACAACTGATATGTCTACTTATTCTATGTATTTCTCAAGAAGTCCCACGGAAAGAGCAAAAAGAAAAAGTAAAGGGAAGCAGAAAACCCTAACAAGGCGGGAAAACATGAAGTGGAAAAACAACAGCCTATGACAATAGTAAATAGACTAATGGGGGAGAAAAGACAACAGGGGAAACACTCACCCACGTCAGCAAGAGCGGTTCTTCCTAAGAGAGCGCAGAGCAAACTTCAGCAGAGAAGCAACTAATATAAGGAGATACGGACTGCAAGGCCACGGGCAGGATAACCACTACCAGCCCACTCACAACAGCTGGGTGCTGCCTCGCCCCGTTCCTCGGGACCACGGGCAGGATGGCAGCTGACCTTCATCCACGACAGCTGGCCCGGGGGTGGGTGCCTCTCCCCGTTCCTCGGGACCACGGGCAAGATAATCACTCAGAACTTTTACTCCTAACAGCCAGGCAGCTGGGTGCTGCCCCCCATTCCCAGCTATGTGGAGGAATAGAGAGCAGCTTTAACTTCTGGAATAAAAACGTGACAGCCATTCTTCAAAAAAAGTGGTTTGTCTAAGCAGCACCATAATGCAGGTTGTCAAGCCCAAGATAAAAGAGCAAAGCTTGAGGAATCTCGGGACTTTATATCAGATACAGAAAAGAAAAAAAAAAACTGTATATAACAAAAACGTAGAAGATAACTTCAGTGAGGAATAAAATGGGAGTGTTCTCCCTGCAGACTTTGCAGGGCCCTCATGTCGGCAGCCGTGGGGATCCGCTGCCTGGCCCGCTCCACGTGCCACCAACACCCTGTCCTTACATGGAAGGGAACAGGCTGTTAGGACAACAGGCCGCAGCTGCGAAGGCCGAGCCTCCACACCGGCTGCGCGCATCTACCTAACCCTTCACGGGGGCAAATTTTAAGGGGAGACCCCCGTGTTTACGGGATAGTAACAGCGTGCGCTGAAAGTAAGGCGGCAGGCGCAACATGGAGTCGCTCATGTTAAGCCCACGTCACCGAGACTCGATTCGCCGCAGCTCCTCCCCCGGGATGGGACCGGCCCGACCGGCACCCGAGGCGTTGACCCGCCGGACGGAGCCCGCCATCCCCCGAAGGGCGGCACCGCGTGCCCGGCCGCGTCTTGGCCAGTCGCCACCCCGGCTCGCACCCCCTTCGGCCTACGAGGCTTTGCGTTCCGGCCGCTGCCCGAGTCTCACGGGGTTTTGCCCAGAGAAACCTCGGGGGTTCCACACGCCCCCGCTTACCCCTCGGCGGCCCTGCGGGCGGGCAGCGGGGGAGCCCGAGCCCCGGGACGTACCTGCGGGGCCCCGCCGCCCTCCGGGCCCGGCTGCTCCTGAGGGGCCGCAGGCCGCCCCCGCGCACAGCCGCCCGCCGCCCCGGGCACGTGGCCCGGTGCCGCCCCAACCCCGCGCCGGGTCGGCCCCGCGGCAGGTCAGTTCCGGGCCGCGCTGCGTCCGTCCTCGGCCCGACCGGGCGGGGCCCGAAGGCAGAGCCGCAGGCGGGGGAGACCCCGGAGCCCTCCTGCCGGGCTCGGCGCGAGGCGGGGCCTGGGCCGACGGGGCGTCGCGGGCAGGCGCCATGCCGGGCCGGGGAGAGCCGCGCCCCTCCGCCCCGTTCCCGGCGGCGGGCCGGACCCGCTGAGACACTGAGGAAGCCATTTCCTGTGTGCAAGTGCCCTAGGCAGGGAGATGAAATTTGAGCCAAAATCTTGACTTTCTTGGAAAATAGCATTCTGTGTATCTGCCCAAGAGTTTTATAATTTCTTTATTACCCACAACAAATCAATGAGTCAGATATTTTTCTCCCTGTGGTTAAGAATAGAAGAATGATGCTCAGAGAAGTAAGACCTTCCTGAAGTTCCAGAACCAGTGACTGACAGTGCCACGTGCCACTGAGTCCTGTTTAGGGAAAACCAATCCTCTTTCCGTGGTATTTTGGGTTTTACCTGTGTCAACGTCCTTTGCGTATGTGAAAGTAACTCAGAACAGAGTCAACTCGTATCATTTCTCCCTAAACCCTAATAACAATACCTTCTTCTCCCTATCTTTGCAAAATGAAAAACCAGAGATAAACTAGTAAGTGGATAAATTTGCAGTGTTTGAATTTGGGCCTCAGCTCATTTCAGGGTACAACCCTCCTTCTGCCCCACAGTTCTGAGCCAGCATCTTCTACTCAACCTTGAGTACCTCTTCTCGAACTTGCGCACATCCTCCCAGAAATCAGAACTCAAGACAACTCCTGCACAATCACAGTGGCATCTTTACACGCTGCACACAGCTCATTGCTGGAAATTAAATCATTGCACGCTGAATTGCATTTCCAGAGAAATTCAACCCTCTCAAGCTATGTCTTTTCCAGAGATTTGTGCTTTGAAATGGAGTTGACATATTACTTAAGCTTTTAAAATCTGCTGTCACTTTGGAGAGTAAAGCAGTCTGGTTATTCTCAATTTACCCTTCCTGACCATAATTCACCCTTGGATAAAATAGTCACATTTCCTTATATTCCCTCACCAACTTTCGGTAGACTGCATTCAGAGAATCAGTTCAGTCAATTGTTCCCTATGTCTTTGCAGTTCTCAAATTTTATGTGTATATTAACTTTGCCAAGTATCACCCAGCATGCCTGATTTCAAAAATCAGAAGCTTTGGTGCCACGTGCCTATTGAATGAAAAGTACTGAATCTTTGAAACGCTGAAGAGTCTGAATTTTAAAGTAAATACTTCAAGATTTTGTGTATTCATATTTTGTTTAATTGCAGGAAATAAAATTTTCAGGATCTGTCAGGATTATCCCTGCTTCTCTACATTTAGCCAAAAAAATAATTTACCTCGTGTCTACAGAGTTGACATTCTTGAGGGTTTGCCGTGCATACATGCATCTGCCATTAGTGTTACCCATTTATTCATGTGGCCATGTAGTTCAATCATTTTCCTAGAAGAACACATATTTTAATGTCTCCATTCAGCCTTCTGAAATGTGCACTGATACCTATAATTTTCTGTGCAGTGTAGATATTTTTGACATATAAGATTACTCTGTCTGCTCCTTCACAACTGTTGTACAATGTATGCACTTTCATTGTGGCTGAATCTCAAGGACTTAGAACAGATCCTGGCAATCAGTATTTCCATAATTGCAGGGACTGAACCACCATCCTTAATCCTGAATCGCATTTGGTACAACTTCACTTGTTGATACCAGTGAGATAGTATCTGCTACCTTATGGGTCAAATCATAAGGTCTTTTTCTCAACTCACATTTTGTAGGTTGTAATTGGGTAGCAAAGTATATATTATACAGGATGTCACCATGAAACAAGGCTATAGCCAGAACTAACAGAAACATTGAGGAGTGGCTGCTCTCACAGTAAATATGGTCCAGAACACTATTAATTCTTTATTTTTCTTCCACATACTCCACCCAGTTATGTTAGTAATGTGCCATAATTTTTTGTCAATAACCGACACAGTCTATAAAAGAGAATTTTGAGAGTATAGAAGTCACCAGTTACGCCCAAAATTATTTGAAATTGGTATTATAGTATCCCCTTTCTAGAACTAGAGAACAAATAAAGAAATACTACTGAATAAAATCAAATGTGCGTAAGTTATATACTTGGAAAATCTATAAAAGCCATATGTTTTAAATAATTTACCTCGTGTCTACAGAGTTGACATTCTTGAGGGTTTGCCGTGCATACATGCATCTGCCATTAGTGTTACCCATTTATTCATGTGGCCATGTAGTTCAATCATTTTCCTAGAAGAACACATTTTAATGTCTCCATTCAGCCTTCTGAAATGTGCACTGATACCTATAATTTTCTGTGCAGTGTAGATATTTTTGACATATAAGATTACTCTGTCTGCTCCTTCACAACTATTGTACAATGTATGCACTTTCATTGTGGCTGAATCTCAAGGACTTAGAACAGATCCTGGCAATCAGTATTTCCATAATTGCAGGGACTGAACCACCATCCTTAATCCTGAATCGCATTTGGTACAACTTCACTTGTTGATACCAGTGAGATAGTATCTGCTACCTTATGGGTCAAATCATAAGGTCTTTTTCTCAACTCACATTTTGTAGGTTGTAATTGGGTAGCAAAGTATATATTATACAGGATGTCACCATGAAACAAGGCTATAGCCAGAACTAACAGAAACATTGAGGAGTGGCTGCTCTCACAGTAAATATGGTCCAGAACACTATTAATTCTTTATTTTTCTTCCACATACTCCACCCAGTTATGTTAGTAATGTGCCATAATTTTTTGTCAATAACCGACACAGTCTATAAAAGAGAATTTTGAGAGTATAGAAGTCACCAGTTACGCCCAAAATTATTTGAAATTGGTATTATAGTATCCCCTTTCTAGAACTAGAGAACAAATAAAGAAATACTACTGAATAAAATCAAATGTGCATAAGTTATATACTTGGAAAATCTATAAAAGCCATATGTTTTTACATGGTGGTATCATTGAAACTTACCTTCCTGCCAGAGAAATGTTCTGTCTTCATTGATAACTTTATTCAAGAGTCAAAATGATTGAAGTTATGGTGGCAGTTGTGCCAATGTGTGGATTTCCAAATCACACCTCATCTCATCTGAGCTACTCAGTCCTTCCTTGAGAATTCATAGAGAAATGCATAGAGAGACGGGCAAAGGCGCATTCTGTTTATTATCATGAAGCTTTTGCTCAAATCCCCAGTATGATGTCTGAACATCATCGAATTATCTACACAGGATAAAGGCCGAAGAGTAAGGCAGGCTCAGCGGCTCCCTCATCCATCTTCTCTTAGGCCTATACCCGAACCTCCACTCAACTTCTAATATCAAGAATATCCTCTGAAATGGCATGTGAAAATTTCCTGTTATACCTGTGTTTTTATCTCAAAACTATGGGGGCAAAAATAAATTCCAGTGTTTACTATATGGATTGAAAATGGCAGTTCCCTTCACCCCAGTTTGTCATGAATATATGACCATTTACACTGGCTCAAATTTGTGGAATCATAGATTATATTTCCTAGCTTTTAATTGAATCACAAAATGGGAAACTGGTTCTAAAAGATGTCTGCAAAGAAATCAAAATGGAAGATAATATTAAGAATGTAAGCACGATTTAGCAGCAGAAAAATATTAGATGTGATTAGTATATTGTCCTACTACAGGCTCTGTGTTTTCATGAGTTTAAAAACAGTGGCAAAATAATTTGATCTGATAAAAATAAAACCAAAATTCGTATCACAAAAACCATTTACCATCTGCAACATGCTTCTAAATGTATATTGTGAGATCTTTGCTAATAATCAGTAATTTATTTTAAAACTAGGCATCCAGAATATGAAATGCCTCAACTTTTCAACAGGTGATTATACCTTACAAAATTTCACTGAGCTGACAATAAATGCTTAGAACCCTTTTTTGGTTTCTTAAACATAAAAGACAAAACCCCACAAACTTGGAAAATACTTGTTCTTTTGAACACATTAAAAATGACTGAAATTATGCATGAAAGAATATAATAGCAAAATAAGATGCACTCCTTTGTCAGTACTGCTAGGAGACATGGAAAGCATTGCTGAAAACTGAAAAAACAATGTTAGAAAAGGTACGTAGTGTGGGAAAACTGTTATACAATTGGATGAAAATACAGGTGTTGCTATTACATCAAGCTTATAGTTTCTTGGTGTATTATAAATTCTCTTTCAATAATGAAACACATTGAAAAGCTTCTTCCTATGAGCCAACAGAAATAAAAGAGAAGATACAGTCTCAATCCTAAATTATTTCTTAGATAAAAGACGTTTTATGGAAAAAATGTGTAAACAACCAGCAGAGCAACTGGAAGAGAGAGAATATTCCAGAGTGAGTCTCTGAGCTAGCCCCACAAGCGGATTTTCATTCATAAGCAAGCCAGTGCAGTGACATGTACAACGTGTGACTCGATGTCATGGAAGTGGTTAGTTTTATACAAATGGCACTTTTAAAGTATATTAGAATCATTACAACATTTATGGAGAGATGGAAAATGATCACGAAACCCTTTTGTACCACAGTACACCTGTTACCATGGGATAAATTACTTAACCAGTTGTCAGATTTCAGTATTTCAAATTGACTCACCTTGTTTGTGAAGACAAATGGCTATATGCACATTTTTCCAAGTTAGTGTTTAAGCACACATGTACACACACACACACTTCTCCTTAAATGAAAAGGTGACATTTGAACGAGTGAGAAAATTAACCATGTGTGTAAAGAAACTTATGCTGTGGAGGTGATAGTTTGAAAACAGCTATTTAAAAACCACCTGGGTTCCAGTCATGGCTTTGCCACTTGTTAGCTGTATTCAATTTAGCAAATTATGAAATCTCAGTGTCTTTACCAGGAGGGAGGTAATAGATCCAACTTCACGGGATTGTAGTTAGGATCTGATGAAAAATGTTGTAAGAAACATTTAGACCAGTTCCTAACAAATGGTCAGCTGCTCTCAATATCACCATCGCCACCACCCTCATCACTGATTTTACAAGTGTGCTTACTGCCCAACGTGTGAAGCTGGAACTACATTAACCAGAACTCCCTTTCTTGGATGTTTCTGGGCCACGGGAGATCTGAGAGGTTCCAGAGGTTGGAAGGGAGACAATGCCCACTGCATAGCACATGTATGATCCGCTGAGTCACCCCAGTGGTATAGAGCCTGGCTGGGCACGTGCGTCTCACCTCCATGAGGAAGCTCCCAGCTTCTGCAGGATACCTGTGTCACCAAGGTCAGAGGCAGCAAGAATAGGCACAGGTTTCAGTCTATTCTTATAGGGTTTCAGCTCGTGCTCGTGCAATTCCAGCCTCTTCATTCTCTGCCCTTCCTGACCACCCTGAACTTCAGGCTCAAGTACCAGCATGGAGATAGACTCCAAAGGACTACTTAACCCATCACTGTGTGAGGCAATTTCATATACATATAATGTGCATGCACACACACACACACACACACACATACACACATATACCAGTCAAAAGAGTAGCAAAAGAATTCAAAAGAATTGCTCCAACACTTTAAACTAAACTGGCCAAAACAACCTGTCAACAGATTTTCTGGGAGTCCAGATGTAGATTCCTTTCTCCTTAAAGGCAATCGAGGTGTGAGAACCATACCAAAGGAAGAGCAGAGGTGTAGTTAGATGTTAGGGTGTCTCGCCAATGGGTTTCAGCCCTGGGCAAGTTCACTATGGATTCAGTGTGACCAAAGAAATGAGAGTAGAACATTTCTTGGGGTGAAAGGGATATACCCAACTTTATTATTTCCACGGTAGCCGGTCAATCGTTAAAATCCCATCCACTCAGAGCAAGTCTACACGCAGCAAGCCTGCCACTGCCTCTGGGCCTCTCTGCCCACACAGCCTAACTCTGGGCCTCTGTCCTCGGCACTGCCACCACTCCAGCCTCATCTCTGCTCTCCTGCAGCCTTGCAGCTGTGCCACCCTGTCGCCCAGAGCACTGACTCACTGAACACAGACAGCACGGCCACCCTCACTCAGCATACTGAGTATCTTCCCTGCAGCCCATAACTGATCTTGCACTAGATTTTATCCATTCTACAATAAGGAAGGCAGGGAAACTTTGTAGCTTTCCCTACTGCCAAAAAAATCAAAGTGAATTTCTCTAGTTTTTATTTTTTAATTGCAAGGAGAGCATACAGAGAAAATTCAATTCAGTCTCACTGCTAAATACTAGTAATATCATATTGCCCTTTCCTGATCATTGTCCAGTTATTCTAAGGGATCTGCATGGTGCCTGGAACCAGCTTCATCTCTATTTCATCATCAATTTTTCAGAATATTCTTCCACTGTTCAAAGTCATAGGCTCCAGGGAAAGACATGGATGGGACTATTCACAGTCCTGTTTGGTCTTAACCTCAGATCTCTCAGATTTTCCATATTCCTGTTTGATTCCGTTGTATCTCTCTCCTTTATCCATATTTATCTACAATAACCATTTATTCCTTTTAAATTATTTCTCTTTGTCTCACAGCATACTTCATAACTAGTACTAGGCACATCCCTGGTAGCTAATAGAAACTTATAAGGATTTCTTGATTGAAATAATAAACAGGCAGATAGACAGATAGACAGACATAGTTTTGAAGTACTTCTCTGTGTGGAAGATGTCTGCTGACCATATGGAAAATGATAAAAGGAAAGAAAAATGGACATTTTACCAAGGAAATATGCTACCAACTATTAAACCAGAAAAAGAAAATGAATGCTGTGCTCCCTATAAAGATCACAAAGTTGTCATGCGGTGGAAATGTAGTCGTTTGCTCATTGCCTTTAACTAGAGCGATTTAAAAGAGGCATAACTACTTCATTACACTTAAGAACATGAAAGATTTGGTCAGAACTGTTGCAAGCTCTCCCCCTTTCCTTGCTCGCCCTCAGGGCTCTCCTATTGCCTATTATTCACTTCCAGGACTTTGATGGCACCCTCATAATGGTCTTCTCAACAATACTACCATTAGAGTTTATGCAAAAAGTCACATTGGCATCAACTCTCCAAGAATGGGAACATTCTCTCAAGCATCATAAGCACTATTAGAAAGGATCTGAAATGTCTAGCAAACAATTAAAGCCCCTAAAACAGACTGTGTAGCTATGCATCCTCATTAAGAGATGGGAAAATGAAGGGTGCATTACCTTACAGCAAATTAGATGGGAAAGTGGAAAGCATAATCATATAATAAAAGACCTCATTAACTCCTCCCATTTTCCCAAGTAGACTACCGATTGTCATTCTAGCTTCCAGAATAGACTAACTCTCCTAAGCCCAAAGCAGATGATTGCAGAATTCGTGGAATTTTTCTCTTTAAATCAACCCTCTATGTTGAAGAAGAATATAATAGGCTTAGATCTTACTATGCTGATGGACAGTGACTGCA